AAAAACTATTCGTACGATTTTTACAAAACTTGGTATTCTGGCATAATTTGAGTCGTAGAATCGAAATATGTAAAAAAAATTGGTATGTTATTTCAGAAAAAAGTCCGATTTTGTGTCAAAATACCTATGTTAGAATAGTATTATATAAATCTAATATATATCCTAAGTCGCGCTTTCGAGACATGAAAAACGTAGTTTGAATTTTGTCAATCGCCCCAGTAGAACGGGAGATATAGCACTGTCCCATTTTTTTTTTTGAGCAGTGTACATATTGTATTACAATCATACAATATTTAAAAAATAATCTACATGAAAGAAGAATGTGAGAGAGATTAAAAAAAAAAGAAATCCACATAATACTTCTAATTAAGTTCTAATTCATATTACTCTCAGTACTCTTCTAATTAAGTTCTGACCAACTGGATTAATTTTCTTCATTTCTTTTTTTAAAAATTTTTATTAAACACATTCAAATCCATCTAAACGGTTTTTACATTCGACTAGATGCATATCCTTCTTACATACAGGACACTTATAATGGCTACTAAGTAAACCTTCATTTACACACCAATTAACACTCTTTTCGTTCCACATCATAGAGAAACTTCGAATTAATCTTACTACATTCAGCCATTCTACCATCTAAACAAAACCAACACACTCCACAAAAGCACTTACAAAACATCCTGTGATTCAGAATTCTCCAAAATCATGCACCCAATTATGCCACAGTGGAGTTTCCATAACATTCAACTACTCAGGCTACCATAAATGAAACAACTTGGCGATAAATGAAACAACAACTTTGCCATAAACAAGGGGTACCTTAAAGGCTACTCTAACTGATAGAGTGACAAGATAACCTTAACTGCTCTTACTCATTCACAGCCTGCTAAGAAAATCTATTAGGGGAACACTGACCAAGCAATTTAGCCTCCTGTTTCTGTCCAGATGTTCAGAAAAACAACCACCTGCATTCTGTGAGGAATTTAACAATAAGAACTGAGTGTAATGAACATTTTAACTGCCAAAAATAAATTCTCACTACCAGTGCAAACAATTTCATTTAAAATTAAAAAATAATCCATAATAACAGTTGATTTAAATTTGTGACACAACAACTGCTCTAAACGTCCCATCTTAATGTATCAGTTGGCAATAAGTTGCCTGAACTTTGATAAATTAAAATATGTAGTTGTCTGAAATAATGTTTTTTCATGTGTCTATGAGTGATAGTTTTCATGCAAACAATAGTGCATCAAATTATAGGTTTTCAATGCAATGTTTATTAAACATATGTCCCAAGAGGTTTTTTTGTTGATATTTATTTAAATGATGCAACTAAAAGGATAAATTATTTAGTCTGATGTACTGAAATTAGTTCTTTTAATTGGTTCCAGCCACCTATACGCTTTTGCTAATCAAGGTTGTTGCCCCAAGTAATGTTTTGGTTTTCTTTAATTTTATGCACAACACAGTATTTGGTCCAATTATTTGAAAAATTTAATTTTTACATTATAAGGTATTTCTTTCGCCTTCTTAGCATGGTTTCATGGTGTAGTGGTCAGCACACTCAGCGCGTATTCGAGAGGTCCGTGGTTCGAGTCCCGGCAATGGCATTGCTCAGTTTTCATGTCTTCTTCAAAATATCTTAATGTCTCTACAACATATTTGAAGGGTTTTGAAGAGTTCACCAGAACCACTATTACAATAATGAGAATATCATACAGTGCTACAATTCTTATTGATTCTAACTTTCATAAATGCACACACACACATATATATAAACGGATAATTTATAAGAAAACTTTTCAGATACCATCTCCAAGGAACAGAAATTCAATTAAAATCATGAAAAATTAAAAAATTATTTTTAGTCAGAATTTTAATTAGATTTTCAAAAATAGTATTTCCTAAACCTCATTGCTTTAAAAACAGAAAACTCTTAAAAAAAAAAAATCTTGAATTGGAGGGGGGGGGGAACTCTTTTCTTGTTCTCTCTATATATAGAGTGAGAGAGAGAAATAGATGTAAGATAAAATTTTTATTTCTTAAGCTTATTTTAAATTGCAAAAAATATCCTTTTCAAGTTGTATCAGTTTTTTTTTTTCATATTTGTATATCATGCTGTTTTATTTCAGCAAAAATTTAACAAAATGATTACCTCTGGAAACAGTTAGATAGATCATTAATCAGTGCTAAATACTTTTGATAAAGAGTTGTTAGAACGTTCTTTTAATCCCATGTAATGTAGCATCATAACTAACAGTAATATAATTCAATAATAATATCTTTTGAGAAATTAAGAATGCTTTGATCACTTTCAAACTTTATTTTTTTAATATCAGCTTTGCAGCAGTGAAGGCATGAAATATATTCTGTAAAATTATAAATGGCAAGAGCTTATGTTAATTTATTGTGCTCACTACGCACATGTTTTACTAATCTTGTTGCAAATTATGGTGATTTAAAATTACCATGTCTAAATTTTTTATATTAAAAATGCATCATCACTTAATAATATATATACAGTCAAAAGTCGTTAATTCGGACACCCATAATCCGGACCTCAAAGCTACAAACTTTCTGCGCATGCGTCAACAACACATGCGCATAAGACCTTTACCGCTGCAAATTTGCGTGTGCGCGTGCGCAAAATACGTTTACGAATGTGTGTTTAATGTATAACGGACGGGATAAGCTAAGCTAAAATTATCTAATTATCTATTTCAGTTAATGTTGCAGATTGCGTTGTTTCTTAATCTTCGAATTGGATCCGGATTATTATTTTTTGCAGACTGTTAGAGCAATTTTATAAAAGTAAGCTTGAACTTTCGATTATGTCAAATAGAATTTCCTATATATAATTTACTAATATGTAAAGGATGGTACAAAGCAAAAGTATCTTTCGGAGGTCCATTAAACAAAAAGTGGAATTGCTGCAAAAAATGGATAAAGGCATATTTTTGTTTATCTAAACTTTGTTTATCTTTAAACGCCGTGGCGGCGTGCAATGAATTGGAAGTTGATTTGTCAGCACTATCCTTATCTTAAGGGCAGATGTTTTTATTTTATTTGGCTTATAATTGCTTACTCAATGTAGTATTTCATCTCAATGTACTCCATCTTTGATATGATTTAAATCAAATGCTTCGTCATTATAATTCGCTTCCGATAGCTAAGAAAGTGACATAGGTTATTGAAAACGAAAAATTTCGACTGACAAATTAGTCGGTATTCTCGACACAGCAATTATAGAACTTGAACAGCGGAACTTTGTAACTGAACAAGAAATTATGTCTGTTTTATAGAATTAAAGAGAATGCATTATCACATAAAAAACGAAGCAACTGAAACAACTTACATTGAAAGAAATGTTTAATAAAGTAAACAAATAAGTATTAAGCTTTTTTTTTTTTTGTAAATTTTAATACCCTTTAGATCATAATTGTTCTTTATTTTGTAAATTACAGTTTCATATTTTTAATTTTATAATTTCTGCATGCCATTTTACCAGATTTAAACTGATGATCTATAATCCAGAAAAATTGATAAGCCGGAATCGCCGAAGTCCCGACGAGTCCGGATTAATGACTTTTGACTGTATATATATATATATGTGTGTGAAATATAAAATAAGAAAATAAATCTAATATGCAAAATATAAAATAAGAAAATACATCTCTAATAAAATAAATTACTAACTTAATTAGCAATATCTCTTTAAAAATTTCTTCTTTTATTTTTTTAAAGATTTTTATATGTTCCTCTTCTGGTATCTACAATCAAATCAAAATTTCTCTCGACTGCATCATTTCTAGATGAATCCGTACAAATGATTTAATAATGCTGATGACATAACTAATGAGGAACTTAAACCGAAACTTTGACATAACTAATTTGGAACTTGAACTCAAAATTTCAAGAGCTGAAACCTTTCTCTTAATAGATGTCCGTACTGAATAACTGTGCACCTTTAGCTTCTGCCCGTCTTCCCATCAAGACGCTACTTCGCTCGCTGAACCTCTGCTAACTGCTGTCCATTGTTCCAAAAATATAATCTTTAAAAAATTGGAGGGTGCGTAGAGTACCCACAATGATGATGTGCAATAAAAAAGGAATATATGTCTTAAGAATTAGTTATCAAGTAGTAAAATTATGTGAGGAATTTGTGGCTATATCTGTTTTCAAGTGTCATCTTTCTAACTAAGCAGTAAATCATTTGCAAGTTATTACAATGTAAAGAACCATCGCTAGTCCATTGCAACTTTCTTTAAGTCATCCTGCTACCTGTAGACACACACACATAAATTACAGTGAAAAAACTAAATTGAAAACACAATAATGTTAGAATAAAGAGTCGGTAAAAAATAAATAAATTATTTTAAATAAATAATAATTAAAAATAAATAAAGAAGTATTTACCATTATAAAAAATGAATGAACGAGTCTTTTTGCAGTTTCCCATAGAATTCAACTAAAAATGTAAAATATGTAAAAATGAAACACCAAAGGATTTTTCATGTCCCAGTACATCTTTTTCACAGGGGGTAGTACTTCCAATACAGATCAACTAGGTTAAAAATGAATTACAAAGGGATTTTACATTCCCCAGTACATCTTCTTAAGGGGGTTAATATATTGAGAGAAGCACAAGATGTACCAGTAGAATTCTTTTGCGTTTAATTTTTATTAATTAAATTCTATGGAAAATTGAAACTGAACTCATTTACTAATTTTTTATGATTGTGTATTGTTTTGCAAAATAATTTATTTAATTTTTACTAGACTTATTTACTAATTTTTTGTGATTGGTATACTTATTTGCAATATAATGTATTTAATTTTTATAAATTTGTTATTCCAGAGTGAATGAATTTAATTTTTTTATTTTAGAAGTATTACTACAAATTTTAGATTACAGTGCATAATTTGGTTTTGGTTTGGAACTTATTAATGTTTCTATTATATATATATATATATGTATAAGCACATACACCTAACTTATGATCTTTGTTTTAGCAATGATAAAACAGTTTTTAAATGATGTAAAATGGCAGTCTATTGATTATTTGGTAATAGACATGCCCCCTGGGACATCTGATGAACACATTACACTTTCTGAAAATATTAAAAATATTCCAAATGTTGGGGCTGTAATTGTCACTACTCCTCAAGTAAGTATTTTCATCAGACTTTCCCACTTATTAGATAACAATGCCAAACTAATTTAATATTTTCTGTCTAGATATTGTCAGAATTTCACACCATTTTTGTACTTATAGATGGTTGCTATTAGTGATGTATTGCGGGAAATCACATTTTGTAAAAAGGCTTCTTTACCAGTAATAGGAATAATTGAAAACATGAGTGGTTTTGTTTGTCCAAACTGTAAGGTATGTATATATTTTTTAAAAAAGAAATCTGTTTATACAGTTGCATTCTGAGCTTTCATGTACTGCCATAACTAAATGGTATTAAAACTTTATTAAAGCCTGAGGTGATATCAGTATGTTGTTAAAACTCAGTTTCAGAAGTATTACCATCAGCAAACATTAATCATTAAATTTTTTTTTTTTATAACTAAAATTAGATTTTCTCAGTGCTTCAAAAATTCAGACTGTACATCAAAATATATGAAATTGAATTGATGTTCAAAGTCATATGCTTCATATAATATGAAAACATACTGAGTATTGCATATGTTAAATAATGGAAAATATCCTCAATATCAGAATTTTGATTCTTATTACACTTAACACCTGTTGCTTAGAATTAATCTAGAATCCATTGCTGAGAATTAAACTAGGAATACATTAATTTATGAATTGAAGTGTAACCATGTTTTTCACATAATGTTTCCATTAAAAATAACTAATATTTTTTAAATGGATTGGGTTAAATTATGGAAAAGCATATTAGGATCATCTACCTGAGTCAAAAGATTACTTCATGGAGGATATTTTAAGAAATTCGCCCCTATTTACATTGCATCATGGGAAAATTTTATGCAGCCAGCCTATTCAGCTGCAAGGAACACAATCTGGATCAAACTGTAGTGTTTTGTGGCATTAGCCATTTGACTACTAGTTGGCAGTTTTAATGAAATAACTCTAGTTATCAAATATAAAGGATTATGTGAAGATATATGATCACTGATGTGTAGTGGTGTAGTTATTTATGTTAATTATTTACAACTGAATGCAAAACTGCATTTCTATACATAGGTTACTGCATGAAATATGCAAATTAAGTGATTGACGATGCATTGCGCAATGGATGCTTGTTCGAATTTCAGTGTGAAATGTTATTTTAATTTAATGTGGTTTCTTTATGAGGCGATGAGTTTAAGTGATGGTTTGTGTTCGATGGCCATGGTAATGAGTTTTCATTAGTTCTTTCTCGAAGGCATTTTTTTTGGTACGTACGTATAATCTTGTTGACCATGAAAGTTGGCCATGATCTCACCTTGCCAAAGTGAATTTATGGGTGCCAAAGTAGTCATTTATGGGGAATTCTGAGTTGCATTTCTGTCCACAACTCTTACAATAAAATATCATCAATGTGTTTGCACAATTCGCCAAATAGCCGCTGCTGCAGAAGTATTCAATCATTTCTTTTTGCACTTTATAGAAAGTTTTTGTTGATTTCTATTTCATTAAACCTTGCAATTTTCCCAAAAACTTTGTGTAGAATCTGATGAATATGAACTTTGAGTAGGTGATGGTTCTAGTCTGTTACTGTTCTGTTGGCCATATCCAGATGCTTGCTTGCCCCTCAACAGATGTTAATTCTTTTGACCAATTGTAAATGAACTGGAGTTTGGTCACTAATGTGATTCTACAGCCCTTGAACTAAATTTTTTTTTCTTTAGAATGAAAGAAAAAAGTACAGCAATAACAGTTAATTTATATACTTGTTTGTAAAAGCAAAAGGTGGCTTATCAAGAATCGTTCGAGATGACATCACATTTATCTATAATTGGCACTAAATTGTGCTGCTTGCAGTTTGTTATGGTTGATGGAACAGATTAAAAATCATCCCATCAACTATGAAATGAAGGGCAAAGGCTCAGTTAATATGTAGTCTCAAGGGAGGCAGACACAAATTAAGGTTGCGCAAGATTAGAATAACTTCAAAATGTCATATCAAGACTTTGGAAAAGTTTTCTAGCAGTGAGACAGCTTATAGAGTTTAGTCAAGGGGTGCCAAGGCTAACAACTGTATTGGAAGACCTTTTCTGACATTTTCAGTTCAAAGAAACTGAAAACCAACAACGACAGAGTTGCTTTTGGGCTTTCACGAGAATTTGAATTAGCCATTTTGCTGTTCCACAAAGACTTCATGAGGTTGGTTTTTTTGCAAGAAAAACCTCGATTTGTGTTCCATTTATTTGATTTCCCAAAAATAAAATAATAGCTTGTGTAGTGTGGTGTTGCCTTTATGTTCAATAGAATCAAGAGAAATAAAACCATGTTTTGTTTACTAATGAGTCCAGATATAGCTTTAACTGTGATTCTAGATGTGTGCTGATCTGAGAGAAATAGGCAAACTACCTTCTGTTCATGAAAGATCCCATTTCCACAAAAGCAGTTTCACGATTTGATATGGAATCGTCAAAAGGTCCTCATTTTTTCTGATGAATGTCCTTTGGATGGAGGTTTTATAATTGATTGCAAATATGTGAATGAGGTCTTTGGAGTCCCATGTAAGGCTATTTAGGGGTGCTGCTGGCTCAAATGTTTTGCTGATAGATGACCATGCTTGTCTTCATTGAGCAACTGTGCTGTCTGATTACTTGGTAACAGAATATATCATTTGAACTTACTTACCATACTTGAATATGTGTAGAATACTGTAGGCTGTCAAATTGCAGTGCACCAAATGTTTCTACTAACCCTTCAGGCAGTGTTGCCAGATCTTGCGATTTTTCACAAATTTGGTACTTTTGACAAACCTATGCTACTAACATTTGTGTCTATGCAACTTTGCAAAATTTTGTAACCTCCTCATTTCTCTGTGCTACTTTATGTTTAACACAGCATAAAGTATGTATTTGTTAATATAATGTATCCATTGAAATTAATTAAAAAATAATAGTTTATTTATACTTAAATAAAAATTGGCAAGTGGCAATCCTTCATTCATAGTCCATGAGCACATATGCCCTCAGTTTTCAACAGAAGTCTGATATTTTTCCATGTTTGATTGATTGCTTTGTTTAATATCTTGGTAATCTCTAAATAGGACTTCAGGTTATAAGTGCTGTAAGTCAGGTTATAAGTGCTGTGTTAATTAAAGCATAAATTGCAAATAATATGAAAAAATTCAACATGACCTTTCAAAATACTTTGCTTTAAACTCTCATGCTTGAGAACTGGTTACAAGAAAATGTAAATAGGTCAGATAAAAGTGTACAAGCTATGTAAGTGAGAAATGAGGGCAGGTAAAAAGTAAACCACCAACTTCAAAGAATTATTGTGTTAATAATCCAAATGTGGGAAAGCATCCGACAGTGGAATGAATTAATTAAAAAATAACAAACTAAACTAAGAATTAATTAAAGGAAGAAATGGAGGATTTAAACAATGGAAAATTAACAATAGGGTTTTAATATCTGGTTGTAACAAAAGCTTTCCCCCCCAAAAAAAATGCTCTTGATAAAGTTAGAAAAAAACATAAAAGCAGTATCTTTAGTGCAAGTAGTAATCACCATCCAAATCTATGATTTTCTGCCAACATTTTGGTAGTTTTTGAAAGCCTTTGGCCCAGAAACTTGGTGGCAGCTAGTCCATGGGTGTGGCAAAACATCCCATTTGAGTCCGTACAGAGTCCAATCGGTGAATGCTACATGTGATCTTGCATTATCTTGATTAAACACTAACTTTTTGTATTGGAACTCAGTTCGACATTTTGCCTTGATAGCAGCATCAGCATGGACAAGCATCTCAATGTACACCGTACTGTCAAAAGTTTTCCTTTTTCCGGATACTTTTTGTGGATAATACCATGGCAGTCCCACCAGATGTAAACTATGATCTTTTTATGAGTCAAATTGCACTTTACAATGCTGCTGACTGGCTCACAGGGCACAGACCACCCCCTTTTCGGCCTGTGTTTTTGAAGTAAATCCACTTTTCATCACAATTGATGATTTGGTTCAGAATTTTGTCCTTGCATTGATATTCGAGTAGATTAGTGCAGGCCTGAACACATCTGCCCTTATCTGCTTGAGTCAGCTCATGCGGCACCCAGCGGTTGAACTTGTACGTCAAGTTTATGCGATGCATAGCCTGATTAATGAACATTGCACTAACGTCTAACTCCTTAGCTAGCTTTCGAGTGGTTGCGTACTGATCTTCTTCCACAAGTTCTTGCAAACGGGCCTCATCAACATCAGTAGGTTAGCAAGAGTGCTCTGCTTCTTGAATGCCATAGGCCTTGTTTTTGAACTTCCGGTACCAAACCTTCACAATGTCATATAGTACAACATTAGAACCTAAAGCTGTACACATGATTTGGTGACATTCTGTAGCTGACCTTTTGCAACAGAACTGGAAGTAAAACATGTTTCTAATATGGTAGCATGATAGTTCCGTTTCAGATACCTTGTACATAATGATAATGGTATTTTTTTACGAGTTTGACAACATAGTGTTCTAAAGCAAGTCTGTTTCTTTCAAATGCCAAAAATCGTTTGACAAAATATGATTAAACATAGCAACGTGAACTGTTTGTGCAGATGACATTTGTGTTAAACTTTCATTAAAAACCAATATTTTCATTAAAACTAATATATGCAGTATAATGACTAAGAATCGAATTACAATTCATAACCGATGAAAATTTAGGATGACATCAGAATGCATAGTAGCTTATGAATCTAAGATGTTACAAAAGTCACATATCTCTGATGTCACATACAAAATGAGCAAGAATCAAATTATAAGTTGTAACTTAGTAGCATAATGAGACTGATTTTGTGATGACATCAAAGGTCATGTGAGCTTGCATACCTACGACATCACAAAAACAGTGCATGATCTTTGCTACTTTTTCCAACTTTTCGGCTCCTTTCTTATTACTTTTGTTCAAAAATTTCTGCCAACACTTCCTCCAGGGTGCGAATGTGCACTATCAGAAAAGCAGTGTGCAATTTCACATTAACAGTTTGGTAAATTTTAAGAAATCAAGATGTGAGCTTTGCTTTTCTGTCTGAAGTGATCATACATCATGCAAGTTTTGTTGCAATATGAAGGTGTTATTTTTTCCATAATTTTAAAATTTACTTAAATATATATGACTTTGTATACAGTAGCTGAAGATAAATCAACTAGCAAACATAGTAAGTTATATGTTGAATAATGTTTTTGTACAAATTGCTTTTAATAATTTTCTAATAAGTTATAGTTTAAAGTTTATTTTTTTAACTAAAATTATTTGATTATTAACTATTTGATTTTTTATTATTAACTATTTGATTTTTATATAGACTTATATAGCCAAATTGAGAGAAAAGTCATATATCATACAAAATATTTGGTTCATATTCATATTTATGCATAGTATGCATATGTAATATATTTTAACTACATATCATTATATTCTTGTGTAATATTCTTTATACACAAATTGCTTAAATTTTGTGATAAATTTATAATGTTAGACAAAATGTGTCTTTTTCTTCCTCTATAATCTAAAAGGAAGTGATTACTATTTCCTAGAAAATTTTGGGCAATTTTTTCCCCCCTGTGTTTCCTTCCCAGCTTTCAGTATTTATTTAAGTTCATAATTTAACCTGCACATATTCAATATATTCTGTATTAGTGTAAGTGAGAGTGCTAGAAATTTTGATACATAGAAAGCTGTCATCATATGTTAATCATTATTCTGCAATGGAAGTATGGAAATCCAATTTTTGAGGCAGAATCTCTGCTGAATTGAACCATATTTGGACTGAATTTTTAGCAACATTTTGTGTGTTTTTGCACATTGTGATCTGTCCTTTAAAGCAGTTCTATGAGAAATTTGTGAGTAAGCTGTCCTGGTGTTGTTGGTCTGATATAATTTTACTAATCCATGTAACTTTTTTTTGAGATCTTGTTTTTTACATGGGCTTTGTTTCAGTTGTGATAGAAGATTAACAGTATATTTACTGACTACTTTTCATCCACAAGTATTTTGATATGTTCCAGAGAGTTGATAAATATAAAAAAGGCAAGCATTTTGATTGCGCTTTAGATGAAGTGCCATATGCAAATATTTTTATCCTTTTTCTTGTCTTTTATATTAATTGGATCAGTTATCCCCATTGGTATGGGTAAGCATTTAAATGCAATCTTGAATTTTTGTATTTACATTTATTTCAAGGTATTGTATTCAGTTGTGTGCGGAAGTTTTATGTCTAGAATTAACCTTCTATTTTTTCATAGTCACTGTAATTTTTTTACAGAAAACATAATTAATTATATTGCTCATGATAGATGATATCAGATTATGCAAGATATACTATATACAGTGAATGGACAAAAATATGGAAACACCTTGTGAAATGCATGTTTGAAAAGAAAGATTGATTTTAATGAAATATGTAGGTGGCGCTGGTGTTTTTGACTACTGACGCCACCTATACAACTTCGTAAATGTGCTAAACAGTTCAGTTGTTGTCGGAGTACTGTTATGTGAGGTTGTCATTGCATTATGTCAGAGTTAACAGACTTCAAACGTGGGCAAATTGTTGGAGCACCTGTGAGTGCTTCCGTAAGCAAGGTAGCCGAGGTGTTTAGTGTTTCAAGAGGTACTGTATCGGAGATTTATTCCGCATATTTGAAAAGCGGAAAAACATCATCTGCTAAATCACAGCGCGGACGAAAGTGTGTCCTGAGTGATCATGACAGACGATCATTAAGGGCAATTGTGACGAAAAATAAGACGACCACAGCTGCAAAAGTTACTGCTGAAATGAATGTTGTGTTACTGAACCCTGTGAGTACCAAAACAATTAGAAGGGAGCTTCATAAACAGGGAATTGCTGGCCGTGCTGCTGCAATTGAGAAGCCACTCATCAGTGATGCTAATGCCCGTAACAGGAGAAAAGGTGGTGTTTAAGTCATAAAGCCTGGACTATAGAGCAGTGGAAGCGAGGAGTAATATGGTCTGACGAGTCTTCTTTCACATTGTTTCCCACTTCTGGCCGAGTTTACATCTAGAGAACGCCATCTCAAGCCTATAATACAGACTGCTTGTTGCCAAGAGTGAAACATGGCGGGGGTTCTGTTATGGTTTGGGCAGCCATATCATGGTTCTCTGCTAGCCCCATGATAACTGTGTCAGGGCACATGACTGCCAAGACTTATGTGAACATTTTGGCCGATCAAGTTCATCCCATGGTACAAACTTTGTTCCCCGATGGTGATGGTGTCTTCCAAGATGACAAAGCCCCTGTTCACACAGCTCACATTGTCCAGGACTGGTTTTCTGAGCACGAGGATGAGTTGCCCCATCTCCCCTGGCCACCACAGTCACCAGACCTGAATATTATCGAACCTTTGTGGTCTACATTGGAACGGAAAGTGCGTTCTCGTTATCCACCGCCAACATCGTTATCTGAACTTGCCACCGTTTTGCAGAAAGAATGGTATAATATTCCCTTGGCAAACGTACAGGAACTGTATTTATCCATTCCGAGAAGAATGCAAGCTGTTTTGGATGCCAACGGGTTTCCTACACCATATTAAGCAAAGATACATGTTTTTTTAAAGGTGTTTCCATATTTTTGTCCAACCCCTGTATCTTGTATAAAGTAACAAGAGGAATATGACACTACACCGTGTACTGTTGCATCTGTCAGTGTTATTGTCACTTTTTTAATTGTATTTATGAATGATATTTGAAGCCATCCTAGATCATATAATAGTTGGTAGAGGTTGATTGCTAGATTGAAATCAAGAATGTGGCTTCAGCTGCCTTCGGTAGTTCTTGGCTGTATGAATAGATCTTTCCTTCCTCATCCATGGCAGTGTCACTCTACCCCCTGGTCAACATTTTCAGTGATAAGTTGGTTAAATGACCGATATGGGTGTGGCAGTTCCCATTAAATGCCTTCAAGAATATCTGAGCCCTGGGATGGTTTTGAATGCATACGCACCGTGGAACCATAATGTCAGTAATATATAAGTTCATGTTATCTGCTTTATGTATGTTCAAATTAATAGAAGTGTTCTTACGTAATGCTGATACAGCATTTCTTGTATAAATTCTATCTGGTACTTAATGATATTTAACAGAATGTTTTCTTAATGACCTGATTTTACATTTTTAACATAGTTAAGAGCTTGAAGTTAACATCTTTTCATACTATTTAAAATTGTTCAAAGTAAATGATTTATCTAGCTAAAAGAATCTCTTAATATCACTAATAAGGATCTTGAAAATGAAGAGATTTAACAAAAATACAGCTAATTTATAATGACTTATTATAAATTATAAAATGCTCATCTATTAAAAAATAGATGAGCATTTTAATATAGTCATAATCCACAAGTACTAATTAATATTTATTAAGGATAACAAATATCTTTAAAATTTAATTTAGGAATGTTCAGCTATTTTTTCACAAGGAGGTGGAGAAGCTTTAGCTAATGAAGCAAATTTAACATTTTTAGGTATGTAAGTTTGCATTATATTTCATTAACGTGGTTAAAAAAGATGAAAATATGAACTATGCATATTTAAATTATCTTTTAACTTTTTAAAGGATCTATCCCTCTGGATCCGGAATTTGCTTCATGTATTGGAAAAAGATGTGCAAAGGAAGATATTGGCGAAATTGAAACACTAAAAAAGTTTGAAAGTATAGCTGAAACTGTTGTAAATAAAATGAAAGTATCTTAGAAAATTGAGTTGTATTGTGTAAATATAATTAAATCAATATTTTTTTTTAATATATGCCCATGATATGCTTTATTCATTGAAAACATTATTTACGAAAGTGTAATGATAATATTGAACATTTAGCCCCTTACTCATCGTGCCTATCTCTCATACGGGTAACCAATACGAATAAATTTTGTCGTGCTCATATCTCACACGGACTCTGCTTTTGCAATAAAAAGTCAAAGGAATACCAGAATTTGTAGCAGTCCTTATAAATGCTTATAAGTCCTTATATTTGAAATTAAAATATAAAAGTCCTTGTAGGTGCTTACTTTTCCTCTAAAGCACTTATTTTTTTGTTTTTAGTGCTTTTTTTTTTTAAATGAACACACATTTTTTCCCCATACCAAAGCTGAAACTAAATAAGCATTTTTTGTTCATTATATGGAATGTCAGATGGTGAATCATACTACCAGAAATAGCTTTTCGCCCCTTTCTCTGCATTAACATAACATTTGGTGCGCACGAGTACAGACAGGTGCATGTCATTCTATTGGTCAAAGAATTGTAAAAGTGGTAGAAAGTTCCGATATATTCTGTATTTTGCTCCTACCTAATACTGCACACGTTTGAATTTCTATCAAGATTTTAATAATTTACATTCTCATTCCATGTGGTCAGTTTCATATTCGCGTTTATTATGATCGGTATGCTTATATCATGAACATATGTATGAATATTTATAATAATATATTTGCAGTTACTGCTGAAGTATAGATAAACTTCAAAAATGGGTAAGTGTGTTTTAACACAGATTAGTTTTCTAAGGAATAATATTTGGAATGGCATAAATAAAGTGAAAGTAATCGAATAGTCAAAATAATATATATATATATTTTCAATGCATTACACAATACGAAAGTTGGGGGTTCTCCCCTTTCTCCGCAAAATCTCAAATATTGAAACCATTACAGTTCACAGCAAAGCAAGCAACGGATTTTTTTTTTTTAGGTCACTTTCCAATCTGGATTGGCTAGGACTAAAAGTTCTGCAGTCTACCAACCGAAGCGAAGAATGATTCTGCTCCGGAAATTTAACGCAGTCTGTTCAAACATAGAATGAAAAACACCCCAGATTGGTAAATCTCTTTATTAATTAATATGAGCATGACAATATATCGCGCGGAGTGCGATGTGTCCTGCTCAATGATAAATATGCCACATTGCCGCATGACAATGAAAACTGGATGAAGCAAAGGAGACTTTTCCTTTATTTAGTTATTTATTCTCCAAATACCGACAGCTGTTGATTCCAATTGCGTAATATCACATGCAGAAGAATTAAGGCGCATATATTGCGCAATAACATTTGCGATATTTCACAAAGATAAGAGTTTTACTGTGCTTGCTAAAGCAGATTATTTATTTTTCAGTTCCATTGGGCTATTTTTTATATGATGCACATATCAAAATGTCAAAAGTATTAGAAAAATCTAAAGAACGGCTACATACTACCCCCTTCATCTTTTTCCAGTTACGCTCGACTATTCAGAATTTTCAGATACTTGGCAATTTCCGAGTATGCCAGTTAGTTTAGTGTTTACTGTTAAAGGATGACTGCATGAAGCAATTTTCCGCCTTTTGATTTCAGAAAAGTTCTTTTACTTAAATTACTTTGCTTGCAATATCTGTTAAGGGAAAACTGTTATACAATGAAAATTTAGAAAATGTTCAGAATTTTTATTTAAGTTAAATTATTTAAATATTAATATGAGTGAAAAAATAAATTGTATTTATTTTTAGGTGCCAAGCAAATATAATAATGGTGTATTATGATTTATTTTCTGTATTTTGAATTGAAGTTTCATCATTATATCTTGTAATATAATTTAGTTCTGCATAGTTTTTTTTTCTCATTGTAAACTGGTTCTGTAAATTAAACTGTTATTAAAAAAAAAAAAAAAAAAAAAAAAAAAAAAAAAAAAAAAGAATGTAATTGTTTTTTGTGATTGGGTAATGCTCATTCTCTCTTAATAAATACTGAATTTCTCATATTTTAAATTACAAATCAAATTTTTCTTTTAAGGTTATGTTGTTTTGTATAATGTAATTAGACAGGTGCTTATTCTTTTTCTTAAAATGTGATTGAAGAGTGCTTATATTTTTAACTAAAATGTGGCTATGAATCCTGAATACCAATTTTTATCACACCCACATTAATTCTATTTACACAGATGGCAGCACAGTACTTGTAAGTTGATTAGATAATAGTAATACATAGATTCAGAATATTTTTTCCATTAGAACACATTTTGAAAAGATGCAGTTTCAGTGCTCATCACTTTTTCGTGTTTAATGTTTGTAAAATGAGTTCAAGTGAACAAGAGAATTCAAGTCTTGAAGAATCGGGATGTGATTCAGAAGGCAGCTTTTTTCAGATGCTTTTGTTTCTGAAGTACCAGATTCTGAAGATAGTGACGATCTCACACAACTTTTACCAGGGTGCCAATGGAACCAAATTATGCCAGTCCCAGATATTTGTCCTCCAGATTTTCAGTTCAAATTATTTCAGTTAATATTTCATTTCAAGCCCGTGCAGGTGTTTTAGAATATTATGAGCATTTTATAAATGATGAAATAGTGGATATAATTGTAAAAGAGACTAATCGTTATGGTGAGCAATCAGGTAATGTTGTTGGTAAAAGAAAACTGTAAGGGAGAAGAGAATGAAAACCTGTATCAGTACATGAAATGCATTTGTTCCTTGTGCTTTCAGTTTTATAAGGTATTATAAAGACAACTTGAAGAAAGAGCATGTATTGGACTAAGAAAACATTGGTAGAAACTTCTTTTTTCCGTAAGATTATGTCATATAATCAATACTGTGAAATAAAAAATACTTGTATTTTGTGAACAATGATTCTTATGATCCAGAAAATTATCCTAATCTGAAACTCTAGAAAATTTGGCCTATTTGTGATCATCTGAATGAACTATATCAAAAAACAATTATTCCAAAAAGAGATATTACTATAGATTAGAACGCTGAATATTGTACAAAGGACGTTTATCCTGGTGCCAATGCCCTTGAAAAAAAAGCAAAATTTGATATCAAAATATACATGCTAAGCGAATCTAGTTCTGGGTTTATATGGTCATTTATTATATATACCAGAAAGGTACTTTGTTTCATCCTAAATTCTGATCTCTCTCGGTAACTTCACAAGTTATGACTCTGATGATGCCATTATTGAAACAAGGTTACTGCATCACCTTAGATAATAATTATACTTCACCAGAATTATGTGATATCCTTTTGACTTATAAACAGATGTGGTTGGAATTGTTAGGCAAAACAAAAAGGCAAATGATTCTTATGATCCAGAAAATTATCCTAACCCGAAACTCTACAAAATTTGGCCTATCTGTGATCATCTGAATGAAGTATATCAAAAAACAATTATTCCAAAAAGAGATATTACTATAGATTAGAAAGCTGAATATTGTACAAAGGACGTTTATCCTGGTGCCAATACATACCCTTGAAAAAAAAGCAAAATTTGATATCAAAACATACATGCTAAGCGAATCTAGTTCAGGGTTTATATGGTCATTTATTATATATACCAGAAAGGTACTTTGTTTCATCCTAAATTCTGATCTCTCTCGGTAACTTCACAAGTTATGACTCTGATGATGCCATTATTGAAACAAGGTTACTACATCACCTTAGATAATAATTATACTTCACCAGAATTATGTGATATCCTTTTGACTTATAAACAGATGTGGTTGGAATTGTTAGGCAAAACAAAAAGGATTTACCTTTAGCATTGGAAAATAAAAAATTATAAACCAATGGAAGGACAAAAAGGAAGTAACAATGTTATCTTTTCATGATTCTGAAATTACCCAAAGTAAAATTTGAAAACAAAACCAAAGGTAGTAAATGACTACAATAAAAAAATGAGAGATAAGGATTTTGTAGATCAATATTCTAATTATCAAGTAGCAAGAAACAGCGAGAAAAAATACTCTTTCACTTTTTAGACCAAGCTCTTTTTAACGTTTTTCAAATTTTTAAAAAAGTAGGTGGGAAAAAGTCACATTTAAAGTTGACTGGATTTAATGAAATAAATAATTGACAAATATCATACTTTTATCAATTTTTCAAGATGAGATCGTCCATCAATTGAACGCCATTTTTTGGAACCTATACTACCTACAGAAAAAATAGGAAACCAGAGAATGTAAAGTATGTTCAGCAAAGAAGTGACATCGACCAATGAGAGTACGAATGGATTTATCCCTGCGAGTTGATTGTCTGCGTATCATCACAGCCTCACCTAGCATATTCTCTTGTTGTATCTCGCTAGTCTTGTCCATGATGTGGACTGTCTCGCATACTGTACTTTAGTGTTGTGTTGACGATAACTTTTTTTAGTTAATTAAGCCCTTATAATGCCACCTAAACGCTGTGCTCCTGCGAAAGCTTCCTCCAGGGCGCCCAAGAGGAAGAAGATGATGACCATCAGGGAAAAAGTGAAACTTTTAGTTATGCATCTGTGGCACGCCATTACAGGGTGAATGAATCTATAGTGTGGTACATCAAGAAAGAGGAAGCAAACATCCGCAAAACTGCTTCAGTAACCTTCAAATAAAGAAGCGAAATGTGTGGTAACTGTGTAATAACAGAATTATGAAAATGGAAGCTGCATTGGCATTGTGGATTGCTGATTGCAGGAAAAAGACGGTGAGTTTGGACACTAGTATGATCAGGACAAAAGCCAAAGCTCTCTACAACCAAATCTTGCCCGATGAAGAGGCTGAAGAAGGTTCTGATGAACCTCGAGCCAGTAATAGCGCTGCCAGGAGTGATTCTCCTCCTCGAGAACAAGGCTTTTCAGCCAGCAAAGGCTAGTTCGAAAAATTTTAAAAAACATATGGCCTCAGAAAGTGCTTCTGTATGGTGATTCTTCCTCTGCTGACGATGATGCTGCTAGTCATTACATGGAGGAAGAGTTTCCTAACCTCATCAGTAAGGGAGGCTACCTCCCTGAACAAGTTTT